CAAGTCCCTCTAAGAGCAGGTTTAATGTTTGTTTGCTTCTGGTGTCCTAGTGGTAAGAATCTGTGTTGTAATGGCAAAGGCACCAGCTGCTCTGCAGGAGAAAGATGGGCAATCTCCTCCCCTGAAATGTACTGCCTCTGAAAACCCCATGGAGGGTCAGTTGGTTTTGATTCCAAACAGTATCCCCCATGATGGTCTGGTTTAATACTAGTAGGAAAATAGAAAGTTGCCAAAGGGCTGTAAGAGCTTTGGAATAATACTGTATCTTTTTAAAGTTGTTTTGTGTAGTTTTTAATAAAAAAATTATTGTGAGAGAAATATTTTTTCTTATTTTCTAAATACTGAAAAAGCATCACAGTAGATGATGTTCACAAGCCTTGAATCTGAATCCCCATCCTGCTCATCATGAGCTTCTCTGAGCTTCAGCATCCACGGGGAAAACAAGTTTCCTAAGTTTCCTAAAGCATCCTGAAAATGTTTTGTGTATACTATTTAAGAGTATAAACTGTTTACCTGTTACTAAAAACAACTTAAAGTATTAAAGATAATACATAGGGCATGACAGAGTAAATGTTCCATAAGAAGAGTAACCTTCCTTATAGTCTCCTTAAGTAATTTGCACAAGACTTTTCTTAAACTAGGAAGCTGGTAAGCCTAGGGCTTAAAACCAGGTCTCCTGATTCCTTAATCTATTTTCTTTTAACCACATCCCTCTGGCAGGCTGCCCCATACTATTAGACTCAGAAATACTTTCTGACAATAGTCAATCACAAAAAAAGTATCTTTTGTCAATACTTAATTTTAACGTTTCAAAAAGAAAACAAATTAATTAACTTGCAAGGGTGGGAAGATTTAAAAAGATACAGTACAATAACACCACCCCAAAAAAACCACAAGACAGGTTATACTACACAACTTCTGTAAAAAAGAATGTCAAGAAACAGAAAGTTCTCTTTGAGTTTATGAGGAATACCCAGACAAGAATGGCTGTGATTAAAAGGAACTTAAGATTTTTGTTTTTCCAAACCAAACCACTGAGGGGGAGGGGAAATTGTATCTCATTCCAAAATAACTCTATCAAGGCTAAGATATATCTTGGAAAAATAGGCCTTGTGCTGACAACAAAATTTTTCTTCCAATTCCTTGAGAGGCAAATGTTCACTTTTCTAATATTGGAAAAGTGAGATAAGCAGTCAACATTCAAGAAGACCCTTGAAGGTTTGGGTTCAGCATTAATAAACAGGCAGTATAAAAGAACCTGTTCAATAGAATAAAAGTTTCATAAGTTTCCTAAAGTTTATTGAAAATATTCTGTGTATATACTTTAAAAGTATAAACTGTTTACCTGTTAGTTATTTTTATAACTATAACAATAATTTTTATAAACAATGTTTATAATTATAACAATAATTATTGTTAATTATTTTATCATAAATTATTAATTATTTTCAAGTAATACATGTAATTCAACTCTTTCAAGTGACAAAAATAACTCTACGCTAGGCCAAATTCTAGAACATTTTAAAAACTAAGAATCTCCAAGAACTTCCTCAGTAAAAAAATAATTCCATCACATTAAGAATCTGTGTATTTCTGTAAAGAAAATCTCAGAAGGGAGCTGGATCTGACACTGACATAATCTGATCAAGAGATCAGATCACATGATTTTATTAAGTTAAAAGATGACCAATTTCTATCACAAAGCTGAGAAGTGGATGATAAACTCTATCCCTATAACTATGATCACCCAAATTCTTACACTTCTCAATTCATCTGTAATCTTTCAGTTTTCTTTTCATCCCTTTTTTAACTGAGCTCTTAATGAAAGTTTATAAAGAACTTAGATTCCCATTCATTCATTGTTGCACATTTTCATCCCTGCCCACCCCCACCGCACCCCCTTGCCCACCCCTATCCCCCAGATGCCCACCCCCCCAAACCCAACCTCCCAAACCCCACCCCGGCCACCGTTCGTTTTTTTCTTTGGAAAGAAAGTTCATTGTTATACTGAGGAGGACCTGAAGCACTCGCTGCAGAAGGTCAAGGACTGCAGCCTTCAATATGGATTGAGGCTCAATATCAAGAAGACAAAGATTCTCACCACTGGGCCAAATGACAACATCAGGATGGGTGAAGAGACTGAGACTGTTAACTGCTTTAGTTTGCTTGGCTCCACAGTCAACACTCTTGGCACCAGCAGCCAGGAAATTAAAAGACATATTGTGATGGGAAAGTCTGCTGCTAGGGACCTCTCCAAAGTACTGAAAAGCAATGGTGTCACTCTGGAGACTAAGGTGTGCCTGATACAGGTCATGGTCTTTGCAATAACATGCTATGTATTCATCAGAGAGCTGGACAACGACTAGAGCAGATAGAAGGAAAACTGATGCCTTTGAGCTGTGGTGCTGAAGAAGAGTATTGAATGTACCACGGACTGCTAAGAAAATGAAAAGGTTTACCCTTGAGAGGGTTAAACCAGGCTGTTCCTTGGAGGCAAGGATTCTGAGGCTTCCTCTGACATATTTTAGACATGCTGCAAGGAGGGGCCAGTCCTTAGAGAAGGACGTCATGCTTGGGAGGGTGGAGGGACAGAGCAGGAGAGGAAGACCCTCTATGAGGTGGATTTATTCAGTGACTGGGATAATTGGCACAGGTGTGCTGGAGACAGTGAGATTGGCAAAGGATAGAGCAGGATTTAGGGCTGTTGTACATAGGATCACTATGAGCCGTAGGCGACCAAACGGCACATAACAACAACCACATTGTTATACAGCTGCTCCCCCTCCCCCAGAGACCACTTTACTATGCAGCTCTTATTCTGGAATCTTGTCATGTCAATAATACCTACTCATATATTCCTTTTATACAATTCTCTCCCTCACCTGTTTCAATGTAGTATACATTATTTATCCCCTCTTTTCTTAATTTGCCCCCAGCCCCCATGTCAGTTCTGTTTTATAACAGTGGCATTATGCAGTATTTCTTTTTGTGACTGAGATATTTCACTCAGCATAATGTCCTCCACATTCCCCATTTTGTATATTTCATGAGTTCTTTGTTTTCCAGTGCTGCGTAATACTTCATTATGTGAATATATTACAGCTTCTCTATTCATTTGTTTGTTGATGGAAACAGAGTTGTTCGCAACTCTTTGCTATTGTAAGCAAAGCAGCAATAAACATGGGTGTGCAATCTTTCAATTATTTTCTATAGAAATAAAAGGTCCCTAACATTTCTTCATGATGCTCACAGCAACCTCTATTTAGTATTTATTAGGAACCACTAAGATTGGACATGTAACTTCTACGGTATATATAAAGCCAACTAGTCACTAGTGGACAATATCGCTTCTTTCTCTAAAATCTGTCCTCTGATAAAAATTCTCTTACACCATAAAGCATTCTTTTCTAACTACACATTTGTAGCCTAGTTTCCCAATCTAGATTTCTCCATGTAATCTGGTACCTCTTCATTAGTTCTTTCCAGAGTGTACTGAAGTCCTGGTAACTATAAAATCATTCATGTTTCAAAGGTCTTTCATTTAAATCTTACTGACCCTCACCACCCTCCCTCCAGAAATTAGAAGATAAAAAAAACTTTCTAAAACTCTTGTGAGAATTTGAAAATTGTTCAGGGTCATACACACGTATATCTTCCATACAAATTAAATTAGAATTTGGTCTTATTCCCTTAAATGCATGCTAATGATTCACAAACTAAGAAAACATATTCAATCCAGATTGACCTCTAAATTGTTTCTTTTCTCCCAATAAACAATTTACACTAATTAGGATATTAACACCATCAATGAAAAGAAAAGGAATAAAAGAGTTAGAGCTCTCAATTTCCTAAGCTTGAAAAAAAAAAAAAACAACAAATAAACAAACCCTTAAGAATTCTCAGGAAGTTAACCTTCAATTTTTAAAAAAAATATTTCAAATCTACATGATTCCAATACACAGCCCTTTTACCTCTGGCATATGACCATTAACCAAACAGGATAAAACTACTGTGAAAAGAACTGCTTAGGGTTCCTCTGGCTATTTTCCAGAAAGCAAACCCTCACAAGGACAAACACAATTTCAAAATCTTGCCCATCCTCTGTTGGGCACTATAGGTGAAAGACTTGCACTAAGAACAGGCTGAGGAGAAAGGGAAGCGGGGGTGGGGAAACCACCAACTAAAAAACAAAACCGCCAATAAACAAAATTCTCTATCAAGAAACGAAAAGCAGCTGTCATTGCTACTCTCGCTAAAATACTACCGACTCTGAAGAGTACAGTCAGACGATCACATGGTCTCTTTACTTCTGAAACCACCAATGACAGAATCCACAGTCCTAGGAAGATCACAAACAAACGACAAATCACAGACCAACTGGTAAAACAAACAAACCAAAAGTAAGCAGATAATTGACAAAAAGTGACTTACGGTGCCTTTTTATCTGCCGGGGAAATGGGCAAAGTCACGTCCCAGATCTCAGACTGGGTTTCCCTAGCCAAAAAAGGCGAGAAAATGACACTTCGCTCAGAGGAGCCAGAGGGCCTCGTTCCACACGCCTCCACCTACTCAAGGGTCCCTTCAAAGGCCGGACTCACAGGGGGTCCCCAGTGCATCTGAGTCATGACACTCGGAGCCTTAGGAAGGGGGAAAGGAGAAAGGAAGGAGGGTCAAGGAGCGCAAATCTTCACCCGTTCCAGGAAATCGGTTCCCCCTTCCCACCCCACCCCCGACACAGGGGCGCGCACACCCGCCTTAAACCCAACGTCCCCTCCTGACGGAACCACCCCGGGCTGCCCTACATCTCTCCCTCCTTCCGGCTTCTCCTCCAGTTCCCTGCCGCCCCTCCGGCCGCGCCCCCGAACGCAGCCCGACAGCCCCTCCTCTGGACTGTGTCGGCCGCAGGTCCGCCCGTCTACTCGCCGGCGCCAAGGTCTCCTCTACCCCGCCGCGGAAAGATAGATGCTGGGCCCGGCCTCCCAGGCTCCTCCAGGGCCTACCTGCAAGTCTTAGGGGAGCTCGGCTGGTCGCCCGGCAGCCGGGCTGAGTCACACAGAAGAGGAAGGAATAAGCAGGACGGAAGCAAAAGGTTCGCTCCACCGACCGGCGGATGAAAGCGGCCTGAGAGCGGGGCCTCGCGCGCAACTCAGTCTCAGACCGGGAGCCGCCACCGCTCAGGAGACATCAAGCAAGAAGACGGCGTAAAAGATCACCAACGCCCAGACATTAATAGAGGAGCACGGAGGCAATCGCTCAAGGCACCGTAGCCGAGCGCCAAAAAACAGCTCAGACTCCTTCTGGAGGTCCGGCGCCTGTCCAAGGCATAAATAAACAAACCCAGATCCTAAACTATGCTGTACAAGTAGCTTCTCCTTCTGAAATTTGCTTTATTTTTCTTTTTTTATTTCCGACTGCTGGCTGTTTACGTTGTCAAGAGATCTGTTGTTTTTCTTGAGAGTGTTGAAGATCAAGTCTTAGCACAGTAGCTGTAGTTTAGCTATACAGTTCAATTACCTTATGACATTCCAACAATATTTAGCTCAACTAAACAAATCCCTCCACTTCTTTGACCCTTGCTCTTTTCACCCAACTGCTTCTTGGTCTAGATAAAGATTTTGTATGAGCACAATAAAGTGTTCTAAGATTCCCATTTCTTCTCAATGTCACCCATAATTTGTCATGATCCACATACTCAAATGTCTTTGTCTCGGTAGTAAAACACAAATAGACGGCCTTCCGGTATTCTCTCCTTTCAGCCAAGATCTATCTGATATCAGCAATGATAATGCCTGGGGCCACAACCTCTTCTAAATCCAGTCTCAACTTCCTGTTGTTTTCTGACAATGTACTGTTCTACCCATTTTTGCATGATTTTCAGCAATATTTCGCTTACATGTGATATGAATGATGTTGTTCGATAATTTCCTCATTCAGTCGGATCACCTTCCTGGGAAATGGGAGCAAATACGTACTCTTCGTACTCTTCGAGTCAGTTTACCAGGTAACTATATTCTAAATTTCCTTGCAGAGTCCGGTGAGCACATCCACAGCTGCATCAGTTGGGACATGTCAGTCGATATTTTATCAATTCCTGGGGCCTTATTTTTTTGGCCATTACCTTCAGTGCAACTTGAATTTCCGCCTCAACACCATTGTTATCATCATAATATGCTACTTCCTGAAATTTTTCAATGTCAACCAATTCTTTTTTTATATGGTGATTCTCTGTTCCCTCCATCTTTTTATTGATGTTTCTTGGATCATTCAAGATTTTCCCCATAGTGTCCCTCAGTGTTGAAATTCAGGGCTTGAATTTGTTTTTAAGTTCTTTCAATTTGATGTCAAGTGAGTTCTTCCTTTTTTATTCTTCAACTCCACCTTTTCGCACATTCCCTTATAATACTTGGCTTTGTCTTCTCCAGCTGCCCCTTGAAATCTTCTCATCTCTTTACATCAGCATCTCTTTCCTTTATTTTGGATTCTCAGCACTCTAGTGCAATACTCAGATACTAATTTTAGTCTTTTCTTTCTCCACTGTCTCCATCTAACAACCTTTTGCTCTCTTCATTACCTTGTTGTAACTCATTCACCAAAATAAGCATGTGTGGAGAAAGAGAGAGAATGTGAATCCAGGAAGAAATCAAATAATCTCTAAAAATCCCTAAAATCTCAGAAGCTTAGCAAGAAGCAGGTTGGACAGTCTGGTGACCTCTGAACAGGAATCCTTAGAAGACAGATCAACAAAATGTTTTCAAAAGGACAGGAAAACAGGCCTGGAAAACTCTGTACACATAGAATCACCTTGAGTCAGTGATGGGGTAATATGTTTGTCTTATAAGACTTATATAAAAAGAGAGGGAATGATAGAGTGGTATTAGTAAGCTCAGAATTCTCTATATAGGTTGTTGTTATGTGCCATCAAGTCGTCTGCGACTCATAGCGACCCTATACACAACAGCCCTAAACCCTGCTCTATCCTGTGCCAATCGCATTGCCTCTGACACACCCATCCTGATTACCCCAGTCACTGAATCAATCC